GTGATGAGTCAGTCCACAACCTTTCGTGAGCTGGGTCTTGGAAAAACCGACCATTTCCTCATGGCTCGACTCCTAAATATATGGTCAGAATGCCAATCGAATGGAACTGTATCTGTTTCATCAATGCACATGCTTTGGTTAGATAAAGAGGTATGTTTGTGAATATATTACATCCACTTCTTATGCTATAAATAGAGAACATTTGATCAAAACAGTTGTTCAATTTAAACTCTTTTAGGGACAACTTATGGAAGCAAATGTGCGAGATGAAGATGCTGGTCATATATGCACAAACATGAAAATAGGTTGTCTCTACACCATATTGAACCCAACTGTCATACCAGCTAAAACAGAACGCCGCACTGCACCTTCCAATTTGAGATTATATTTCACAGCAGGAGCTTCGTTCAAAAGTATGCAAGAATATCGCAGCACAATGCATTTTCCAGATGATTCTTTCCTTCAGGTGCCTTTCACTGACAGTGTTTCATCTGCAAGTGTTCCAGTCTGCTACTCAGGTGCACATTTTATACTTCACCCCCTAATATCAGGACACAGATTCATATGCAAAGGAATTTCTGTTCCAAGAATCATATGATATGTTTGGTAAATCAAACTATGTGACAGATACTTTATCGATGCAAATTGAAGATAGTGAAGTTTTATCTTGGTTCTGAAACCTGCAGAACTTCGCCTGTAGACACTGAGTATTTCCGACCACCTTTGCTTTTCTATTTCCTATTATGAATTTAACAATAAACTCTTTACATCCAACTGATATGCCTATTCTTCAGATTGTATTATAAGCTGGAAGCTGAGTGTGAATCAGGGAATGAGAGAGCAAAAATCATTATAAATCCTGCACCTGCCCTTGCTCTAATTCGTATGCCACCACTGGAGTTCCAGACAATGTCATATGATCAAAGAATTCAGTTGCTCAAAGAAGTCTGCGACATCAAATTCATGGCAGAACTCTACATTGTTGGATCAGAATTTTCAGATGAACCACAAATTCACATGTATGCAATTTGGAATGCCAAAGCATTTCACCCATTGATGGATCTGAAGCTGAAGTTATAAACAATGATCTCGGTTTCCAATGGAAGAAGGTTCATGCCCTTTATTTTTCGTTTATATCTCAACTGCAAAATAACATTGCAGTTTCTTAGCACTGCCAAGCTTTTATATTTAATAATGATCACCTTCCTTTCCTTTTATTATTTCAGGTAGTAGGCCACATGATTGAATCAGGTGGTTCAGTAAGGAAGAAGGAAGGGAACAGAGACCTAACAGCAGGAGTTCTATTGTTATTTTGTGCATTCCGACTTTTGAGTAGCAGTAAAAACAATTGCCACCTCTGGAGCAATTTAGTTTTGGACATGAACTACGTTAGTGTGGCATGTGTTCCCATGTTATGCTTATGAAGATCTATTAGTTATATTTTGATTTAGAAGAACAAAAAAATCTATTGTTTCGTGAACGTTTATGTATTCCTGTAAGTCACCTCTCGAGCGATGAGCTAAGGAATGTATGTGATATATCGAGTTTGTTTTCTCATACAATTCTGTATTCCGTTTTCTGTCATCACCAACAAGTCCTTCAGTTACCGTATTAGTCCTAATTTTATCTTTATGATATTATAGTTGTTCGAATGTTAGAAAAATTATCACCAGTTACCCTGCCTGCTCCCACATTTTTCCATATCTAATCTTCAAGATTCTTATTCTTCAAAAATCAATCGCCATTCTTAAGTATTTAATCTGATCTCTTGATGTTGTCTAATCTCATATCTGTGCAGATAGTTAAGAGCAGCGTTATTCTATATATTCGCTTTTATCCACAATTGCATACATCACGGATGTTTTTTTGTTCACCGACGCCAGTGACAAGTGGTCATAAAGTGCCGTTTGGTAAACGAAAAAAAAACACATAGAAGATACAGCTAACCCCTTACAGCTGGACCCTTATCCCAGCATTTATGCCTGCTATTATCCCGGGTTCTTTCCTTCACGCCCCTTTTGTTTGGCTCACCTAAAGAAAAAGACTACTGCTGTTCCGCCTTTCTTCTTCAATCTCTCGCTTTAATCTCCTTCCTATACTCATCACAAAAGTGCGATGTGTACTCATAAACTACTTCTCGATCTTAATGGAACCGAAGATCTGGAAACTGTTCTGAAACTACGCCTCCTACATGTTTGGGGTTCTTATGTTGTAGTCTCTGGACCGATGCGAAGGTAATATGGCAGTTGCTTTCAATTTTTCAATTTTCCAATACCCGTTATGCTGCTCATTCGTCTCTATTGCATTCCCTACTGCCTCCTTTCACAGGGAACCCTGATTCAGGCCGTCGCCCCACCCAATCTAGCTCATCATTTCGGCGCCATCCTGCAACTAGGGTGTGTCTATTTAATTACTGGATTCCAAATACAACAATCACAGCCGATGTACCGGCCTTGCTCCCATATATTGAATTTGGTTCTTTCTCAAGGAACCAGATTTGATAATATAACCACTCTCTCGCCTGGTTTTCGTGCTGATTCATATGAGTTTGTCACCTTCAATTCCTTGCGCTCTCTGCCTCAATCAGCCGACCAGCTAATAGGTCGAACTGGCAAGCGGCTTTAATTTCCTTAACTGCGCTTCAATTTCGCCCCTACACTGACTCTTTAACTATGTTTCACAACCTCTGTTGATATAGATGTTGTTGGCAAAGTCGTGTCCATAAGTGGACTCTCATGTTCAGTAACCTGTGATGGTGCTATTGTTAGGCGCAAACTGGTTATACAAAAGGAAAGGTTTCAATGCATTACAATTGTACAATTTCCATTTCCTTCTTTGTTTTATCTTCGTTTCCTTTTTCTATGTCATGACTTTGCATGTGTTGTTACAGACATGTGCGTCTTAACATCACCATCTGTGGCGATTTTGCGCGATCTCTTGATGGAGAAGAACTGGCATACCTTGGCCGTTCTGGTTATGTTATACTAGGTGTATGCAGTCTTCAGATTGGTGCTGCAACACCAGGTTTATATTACAACTTGATCCCTAACAGTTCATTATTTCACTTATCTACTAGATGATGTGTTCACGTCTGCTTTCCACTATTTCTACAAGATCGCATGTTTTTGACCAGCACCCCTATCACACGATTTGTGCTAGAACCGTCTTCTGATTTGGGAAATGCTGTCCGTTCTGCGTAAGTTACTTATGATGTAAGTTTTCGACAATCAAGTTTCCCTTTACCTCATCGATTTTCCATTTTGTAGCTCTCTTGGTGGAAGAAATACAATTCAGTACTATCCTCCATGGTTCTCAACCTCCTTTGAAGAACAACTATTTCAAAGTGACAGTACGAAGACAGTTATGGACCTGATCCACCTTTGCAACCCATCAATGGTTGATGTGCGTTATTTGACCACTACTCTTTCTGTACCAAGGCTGCATTTCTAAATCCTAACGAACTAAAACATGAACTACTAATTTTAATATAGTTAACACATTTGTATGTGTTTTACTTTTGGTGCCCATTTTGAAAGACTATTCGACTTTTACATTGAACAATTACCTTGCTGACATGCTCAACCTACGTGCTGTACAAACTGACTTTGCTTACTGTTTTATTTACCTACAGGCTACACACTACCGTTGCTTGGCACAGGTCCTCTCTGCTGAATCTTCGCGACCATGGTTTTACTTAGGATGTGCATTTTGTTTCAAGACAACCAGGGAGTTTCCTGGTACTATTGATTTTTGGTGTGATGAGCATGGTCAGTTAATACCACAGAAACCCAAAATTGGTTAGTTTGCCATCAAACACCTTCCTTTTGCAACTTGCATTTCTAGGATCAGTTGAACCCATTTTTTACAAATAATTTTTGCAGTTACAAAATTCATTTGGCGGTTGGAGACAATACTGATTCAGCATGCTTTATTATGCTTGGCAAGACCGCTGAGTAATTACTAGGAGTTACCGCTGACGAACTATCAACACGTTACCCTCAACAGGATCGTCAATTCCCTCCAGAAATTCTTAACATGAATGGACGCTGGTTTTCGTTTTACGTTCAGCTCCCCAAACCTGGGTATTTACCTCAAACCCCTTTGGAGTTTACTGTCCTATCTGTAATCGGCCACAACCATCCTCAACATTAGCCCAAGCAAGCATCAACACGCACACAGATCGTCCAATGAGGAATGTCATCATCAGCACCAGTGAACTTTTTGCACTTAGCTAATTTCAGCAGACATGTCGCGCACACGAAATCCTCACTTGCCACAATCACCCGCTGCCACTCTTTTAAACCACATCGGTGCATAAAAACATATGTAAATTATGCTTTCCCAGTCAAACAATTTGGCAACTAGCAACAAATGCCGCTCCTTTGTATATGCAAACCTGGGGTACATTATTCAGTAAGTTTATTTACATACTTTTTTTTTACGATGCAATTTGTGTACGTCTAAAAAGCATCCCGATTCTATGTGCAACTTCCATTAAAAACTCGACATTTTTCTTATCTGATCTCCCCGGCGCGGAGCGCGGGTTTTCCTCCTAGTAAATATTACTGGGCAACGTCCAGGCTTGAACAGGCATGACACAACACTAATAATGAACAATACACAACAAGACTCGCAACAGATAACACGTCTTTCAGCAAGCTGGCGCTCGCCTGAATTCACAGACGCCTACGACATTCACAAGCATCACAGAATGCAATAGATGGAAGCAACATAACCTTTCAACCCTGCTCTGATGACATGGGGCTCTGAGCTCGGATGGAGCAATTACACTCCACACATTCATTCAGCCAGAGAGGTGCTTCCTAAACACAGCTAATCATGGCAATCCACCAAAATGCACGACGTTGTGACAAATAGAAGCACAAAATAGTTTTAGAAGAAAGAGCACAATCCTGTCTGCTGTGACAAATCTGTGCCTATTAGCTGCAGACTTATTGAGTTATTGTACAATACAAGTTCAGAATTTGCTAATCTTCCAAACACACAGAGAGTAATATCAGTATGGCAATCGAAACTACTTGTGTGAGCACATAGACAATCATGACAGCATGATGCATGAGACCATAACTAATGCGTTGAATCGAATTTAGAATCCAGCACTCCCATTCTGCATATCTACGCAACAATCGCTTCTGGTTTGCAAGACATTTCGATTCAGCTTTCCAATTTGAGACGGACTATCAACCAGTTCAAGCAAAAAACAGGAGCTGAAAAATCAACGCCACATCCACCATCAACACAAAAACGGACCTCAGGCTTCATAGCTCTCCACTTATTAAATTAGTGTACACAAAGGCAGGGCTTGGATATAAGAAGCTCCAGAACTCAATTCGTACTCATGGTTAAAAAAAGATCAAACAAACAAATAGTTATCCGATCAAAGCCCTAGTTTTTATTTCTTGGCGTTCGCTTTACCTCCGGAAGATTCTCCCCCGGCGGCCTGTGCCGCTTTCTTCGCCGTCTTCTCCTGCAGAGCCTTGGCGTCCCTGCGCGCAGAAAGCAGAAGAACCCAAAATTCAGAATAACGAGCTAGCTCAAAAAGGAAATTGGAAGCAGAAGGAAAAGAAGGAGTGATGACCTCTCGCGGCGCTGTTCAGGGGTCAAGCCATCGTCTTTGCCCTTGCCGCCCTTAGGGTTGCGAGACTGAGCTCTTTCGCGATCCTTTTCCCGCTGATTTCCGCGTGGAGGACCGAACCAAACAGAGTCAAGGAAACAGAAAAGCAGTATCAATAGGGAGAATGAGCGAATGAACCAATTTGAAACTCGTTAGATCCGAACAGGTAAAATTGAAGCTAAGAGATATCGAAGGAGCACGATATAGAAGAAAAAAGGATATGAGTCATGGTAGGGATGCTGCGATTCAAGCGCAGAGAAAGTATGAGAGAGAGAGAGAGAAGGGAGCGGGAAGGGTTTAGATTCGAGCGATTGGTTTGGCGGTGGCTATGGCTGCCAGGGCCGACGACGAAAGTCTGGAGGAGATATATAATATAACTTGGAGCTTAAGCGGTGGGATCGTGTGTTCGTGCCGCTGTTTTTTCTTCTTCATTTTGAGGGTAAATTGCATAATTATCGGGATTAATAAAAACTTTCATATTTTGTCACGATATTGTGTTCCATTTGTAGTAATTGAAAGGCCAAATTCACTTGCATAGCCAAAACTTTGACGTTTGTGACAAATATAGCCACTTTTGGAGAAATATCAGAAATAGCCAGAATTTTGAAAGTTCGATGACAAATATAGCCATTTTCGTTACATAGTTTGACGGCGTCAATGACACTGTTAGTCTATTTAACGGACAGATGATGTGGCTGCCACCTCACTGTGTCTTTCCTTCCCACCTCAGCATTCATTGACAAGTGGAATGCCACGTCATTTTTAATGGGTAAAAAAAATTACCATAAATTAGGTGAATAAAATTGGAAATGTTATTCTTTCCTTTCCCCAATTCCATCCGATTTAGGGTTTCCCAGCCGCTCTCCTCGACGAACCAAGCTCCGCCGATTGAAGCAGCCCCACCGCACTCGTCGACGAACCCAGCTCCGCCGCACTGCACTCGCCGTCGCCTACAAAATCCAGAATCTCTCTCCTAGCGGCACCTTCGATTGAAGCGACGACCAGTCGACTAGTGACGGGTGGAGGAGATCCTTGAGAGCCGCCGCCTTCGAGAGCTCCGCTTGCTTCATCTCGATTCCCCTCCAGCCAAGCCAATCCCGAGGAAACATAACAATTCCATCACAGCTCCTCCCACGGTGGGTTCGCCTTCCTCCCACGGCGGCTTCCGTTTCCTCCGCGAAACCCACTCCCAAATGCCCTGCCACTGCCAGATCCACAAGGTCACTACCGAAATTCAAAATCTGGAATCGCTGAAGGAAGTTCCTGCATGCGACGAGTCACCTCTACTATTTGTTGGGTCTTGCTTGTCGGTGGGCGGTGACGATGTCGATTCTCACTGATCGACTAAATCTCCTGGATGGGTAAGCTGGGTGGTTGCTCTGCTATTTGCAGTGACGGGAGGAAGCTGATGGCCGTCAATTGATCGACCTGAGGGAGCGAGCACAGGCGATTGGAACTGGATTGGGATTCAAATGGGTTGAACTGGTACTCGATGGTCGATTCCCCCTCACCAACAGTGAATCGCGTCGCCGGAACGTTGAGAGGGGTTTTCTCTGGATATCGACTCGGGGAAAGGGAAGGGAAAATGAAAAAGATAGAAAGTGGCTGAGGCGTAACAACACATTTACTGTTTCGTCTTTTTTTTTTATTCCACGTGGAATTCACTTGTTTGACGAAAAAAGTCACGTCGGATAGTCCGTTTGTCTAGTCAGCACGTTAACTAACACCGTCAAACAATTGGACGGAAGTGGCTATTTCTGGTATTTCTCCAAAAGTGGCTATATTTGGCAAAAACGTCAAAGTTTTGGCTATACAGGTGAATTTGGCCTAATTGAAATTAGTTTAATAATCTGAATTGAGTCTTTCTCCATTAGCATCCATCAACCTCCGTTAATTGAGTTCGTTATTTGCTGAAGTAGCTAATTGAATTGTCTAATCAGCCTAATTTAATTCAAAAAAACTCAAACCTGATACACCACATCATTAAAGCCTAGGAGTGCATAATTTAAAACCTGAAAAATGTTTCTCGGCACCGGTGGGATGAAGAATGTATGAGCAAGGTACTCCCATAAGAAAGACTTGAATGCGATCAAGTTAAGAAAAAAGAGAGAAGATAAATGCAGCCACAAAGAAAATGATTAATAGATTGGCCACTGAAGAAAATGATGCGTATCTATCGCCAACGCCATCAGTGTTGCCACGACAGACGAACCGAAGGTACAAGCCCAACCCGCGTTATGCTTAGTTCCTTTCCCTTTCCCTTTCCCTTGTTTAGTTTGTTTTATATTTCCTTTCCCTATTTGGTTTAGTTGTACGAATTCTATATATTGGCACCATTGTTATTGAATGAAGGTAAAAAGATTGGAAGTCAAGTTAGTCTAGACTTGTAGAAATAAAGTAGAAGTAGACGTAGATAGTTATAATGCATCAATTGGTATTAGTGCCTGGTTCGATAGAACCGAGCTCGACATCAACCGAGGGCAAGATTCAACGACGGTCGTTCACGAGGAGGAAGGAGCAGCTCCAACCACCGCTAGCAAGCAGCCACCTGAGGAGATTATCGACATCACCGAGGCACCGGACGACGAAGTCTCGCTCTACACCATGTCCGATGTCTCTCACCCCGCAACCATCCGACTTGGCGTTACGTTGCACGACGATGCAGTCGTAGCCCTAGTCGACAGCGGGTCTACACACAACTTCGTGTGCAGCGAGGCCGCGGGCAGGTTGTTACTAATGACGACACCAATTCCACCATTTCGGGTTAAGGTCGCCAACGGTGAAACCCTCGCCTGCACCCGCTACTACGAAGAGGTGCCCATAACCTTCCACCAAGAACTAATGGAACTAGATCAATATGAGCTACCAATTAATGGAATGAATTTTGTACTGAGGATTCAATGGCTACGACAAATCAGCCCGGTGACCATTGATTGGGGATTATTAACAATGAAGTTTATGAAGGAAGGAGAATGGATCATGCTGCAGGCAATCAAGGCGACAACAGAGCGAGATGAAAATCTCCATCGACTTCGACCAAGAGAGTTCACCGCATGGGCCATATGCATGCCGACCGATGGGGAGAAACTCGAAGAACCACCGCATGAGATGCAAGGACTGCTAAAGGAGTTCCAAAAATTATTCGACACGCCTGCTAGCCTGCCACCGGTCAGACCCGGCGACCATCAGATAACGCTAAAAGAAGGAACTGAGGCTGTTAATGTAAGACCCTACCGTTACACTCACTACCAGAAGGCCGAGATCGAAAAGCAGGTTGGCGAGATGTTGCGTTCTGGGCTCATTCGGCCAAGTTCTAGTCCGTTCTCTTAACTCGTTCTACTAGTCAAGAAAAGGATGAATCTTGGAGATTTTGTATTGATTATCGCGCCCTAAACGATGTCACTATCGAAGACCGGTTTTTGGTACCTACAGTCTATGATATATTGGACGAATTGCACGGAGCAAAGTACTTTACTAAGCTAGATCTGAGCGCGGGGTATCACCAGATTTGAATGAGAGAGGAAGATACTAACAAAACCACCTTCCGGACACATAATGGCCCCTACGAATATCTAGTCATGCCCTTCGGATTGTGTAACGTGTCGTCGACGTTCCAGGAAGCCATGAATGATTTATTTCGACCCCTGTTGCGAAGGTATGTCCTGGTATTTAATTGATGATATACTCGTTTATAGTCGGAGTTTGGAGGAACATATGAGACACCTGCGAACGGTGTTGGAGGTGTTTGGACGACATGGGTACTACCTTAAGAAGATCAAGTGTGTGTTCGGATTGCGGAAGCTCGAGTACCTCGGGCATATGTTTTCCGACGAGGGAGTACAGGTAGACAACTAAAAAATCCAAGCAATGATCGATTAACCAGAACCGCAAACCATTACCGAGCTTCACGGGTTTCACGGGCTTATGGGGTATTACCAAAAGTTCGCGCGACGTTACAACACTATCGCTCGCCCTTTAACAGAGTTATTGAAGAATGGGAAATTTGCGTCGACCAAGGAAGCTAGAGCAACTTTTGAAGAGTTAAAGCGGGTTTGACTACAACACCTACCTTAGCCATCCCTAATTTTGATGAGCCGTTCGACATTGAAGCATACACATTCGAAAAGGGAATTGGGGTGGTGTTATCTCAACGAGAACATCACATTGCTAATATGAGTCGGACAATGGGACCCACGAAAGAATCCTGTATACATATCAGAAAGAGATGTATGCGGTCACTAAGACAGTACAAATGTGGCGAACCTACCTCTTAGGTCGGACCTTCAATATATACACCGACCAACAGAGTTTGCGTCACATATTGGAACATAAAATCATTAACCCGGATCAACAGAAGTGGGTGACCAAATTTTTCGGTTATGATTTTAAGGTCCATTACAAGCCGGGATTATATAACAAGGCGGCATATGGCTTCTCACGCAGACGAGGGAGTATATGCCTTAATTCAATATCCAAACCAAAGGTCACCCTATGGGATGAGCTACGAGAAGCTGTTACCACAAGCCCGTATTTATAGGAGCTTCGTCTAAAGGCTTTGCGGTGTTTTACCCACCAACAACCACGACGGTGGCTAAATCTATTACCCTGGGTTGAGTTTTGGTATAACTCCGCCTATCATCGAACGATTGGCACCTCTCCATTCCATGCGTTATATGGGTGACAAACACCCTCTATAATTCTCTATCATGGCCACGCCAGCCGAGTTGTGGGGGTTGATGATTTGTTACAGGAACGAGATATTGCATTGGGACAGCTTCGCAATACTTTAGCTGGAGCTAATCTTCGAGCTAAGTAGTTGGCTGGTGTTAGCCGTAGGGATGTTAATTATGATGTCAGCGACTGGGTTCTTCTACGTTTGCACCCGTATCGACAGTCTACCATTTTCCGTCGAGCTTCCCAAAAACTTGTCGCTAGGTATTTCGGACCCTACAAGATCAGCGGAAAGTGGTAATGGTGGCGTATCGGCTTGAGTTACATGCAGAGTCTAGAGTACATCCCGTGTTCCATGTGTCCCTACCAAGTGGTATGTGGGAGAAAGCATTCCGGCCGCAGTTCCGGAGCCACCGATCACCAATGATGGGGAGTTGGAGGTAGTGTCACTGCAAGCTGTGGATCATCTTTGGACGAGATCAAATGGGGTCGGCACGGAAGAGTGGCTCGTCCAATGCCATCATTTGTCGCATGAGGAAGCTACATGGGAGTCGGCTGAGACCCTTCGTGCGCGATTTCCAGAATTCGACCTTCAGGGCAAGGCCGAGCTTGGGGGGGGGGGGCAATGATGCGTATCTACCGCCACCAGTGCAGCCACGACAGACGGACCGAAGGCACAAGCCCAACCCGAGTTATGCTTAGTTTCTTTTCCTTATTTAGTTTCTTTTATATTTCCTTTCCCTATTTGGTTTAGTTGTACGAACTTTATATATTGGCACCATTGTTATTGAATGAAGGTAAGAAGATTGGAACTCAATTCATTAGTCTAGATCGTAGAAGTAGCCATAGATAGTTATAATGCATAAGAAAAACTTATAGCGTGGGGGAGGAATTTATCTGGTATGTGTTTACCATCTACAGGTGGGATAGATAGAAACAAGGGTGCATATGTTTTTGTGTAGTGTTCTTTAGTTAAGACTGTGTTGCAAAAGATATAATGATGAAGTTCAAGTTTAGAATATGCATTGTTAAAAATAAAATAAAAACTTAACAATTTGACAGGATCGAATTTGAGCCATCATAGCAGAGACTAACAATAGTCTATTGTTCTACCACTCTCTACTGATTCCCTTAATACTTTCATACATAGACGACCTACGACGATCAATTATATATTCAGATCTAACGACTACAACGGCCTATATCCTATTCCTAGACTATACGTAGCTCCGCCTCCAGTTGTTACGACAACTCGTGTATGATGGGAAAAGGGGGATGATGAAAATTAAATCAATTAAGGGCACTTGGGTTTGCCTTGTTTGGTTTTCCAGTTGTTGTAGCAGGCGCATTCCTCCTTGTTGCCGTACGTCCCCGAGGGAACACACAAGCATGTTGCGCAGCACTTGTTGCAGAAGAAGAGGCACGGCTTCCTGTGGTGCGTCTTCGAACACCGGTAACTACATGCTCCGGCGCACTGATACGGACGCAGCGACCCTCCTCTGTCAGCCTGCAGCCATATTGATTGATTGCATAGTCACTCTAATCAGTTCGCCCGAAAAACAATTACACAAACAAACTAACTATAGACAATCTGTGCGATTGATGAATTAAGATGAGTACAAACGTGGGTGAGTTGAGCAGCAAACGCCATGGTAAGAACTAGAAGAAGGACAGCAGAGGATGGGAGCCATGAAAGCCGCCTACTTCTATAAGCTGTCGTCATTTCTTCTGATCGATCTTTTTGCTGTGTCGATTGATTCTGAATCATGCACGAGCATGATACTAATATATATACACGAATATGGTAGCTAAATTCACGACGTGGGATGCGGCCGGCTGGAAGCCTAGAAGTGAGGCAAGGATTTTGGATAATTAATGGAGGCGAAGCTTATTATCGGTTTCCCGTGTATTATTTTCTCCATTCTGTTTTCTTTTCCTTTTTTCATGGATGTTGATTACAGGCAACCTTAAAATGGAAATAACCAATACTACCTTAGCTATATTTCAGGGTCGTATATCCCCCTTAATTCGGGATATGTTTGAATATAAGAATCTTAATTTTGTTCGTCAATATACTGACTAAAAGAGTATAGCCACTATATAGTTCTTAATTTTTAATGCTTATATTGGAAATGCAAGTATTTTGAATCTTATTTGGTGATATATATAGGTTTGTTTTTTTTTATGGTTATGTACTCGAATTTAGGACTTCCAGATTTGAATACTTGGATTTAAAATACATGCATTTGGAAATTTGTTATTTGTATAATTATTTTGCTTATGTTGCCCTGAGGAGGCCAAGAAGATTAAGAGGGGGTAAGTGGTGGACGAACAAGGGATTGCCATTTGGCAAGAAGATTAATTAAGTTTGTTGTTGTTGTTGCCTTCTGGTCTCTGCACTTGTTAGTAGTGTGCTTGTCTGAGTCTCGTTAGCCAGTGCGTGATCAATGGTCTCGTGATGAAAGAGCACTGGATCTTGGCCTCCTCACTTAGACTCGGAATTCTAAAGCTGGTTCACCAAACATGATCAAAATTAAATTAGTAGTTCTATACCAGATGACGTATCATATACTTAGGAACGCATATATTCCATGTCTTACGCCATCTTTTAGCACAATGGTAAAATTTTCGTACCATGAATGTGATCACAATTTTCAACCACTTTTGTTGCAAACGTACTCAATTGGGTTTCGAAATTTTGGACGGGTCGGAAACTATAAAATTTGTAAACAGTTTAATAAAAACATCAAAGTCGCTTTGGCCGAGTGGTTAAGGCATGTGCCTGCTAAGTACATGGGGTTTCCCCGCGAGAGTTCGAATCTCTCAGGCGACGAAATTAATTATTTTTACTTCTTTCTCCCATTTTGGTGCTGATCAATGCCCACTTCTCCCAAGAAATCGTCTCAGCTCTCCATCCCATCTTGCTCCGCCTCGTGCTCTTGCTTCGCCGGCTAGTTGCCTCAACTTGAACTTCAAATGTAGTTTTTCCGGCCATCTGTCGCGTGGTGCGCATGCTCATCTTACAGAGCTCTTGACAGCTGAGGATGCTTTGCGCTGCATACATACAACTCTTCCAGCTTTTACCAGCTAGTGTTGTGTTTGAACTTGGTGGGGATGCTTGCTATGAGACACTGAGATTGTATTCAGTTGATGTCTTCATTGTCTTCTTACATTTGATTGGATGGAATGGAACGTGAGTTGGTTGAGCTCTAAGTTTTGAAAAGATTGGGCTGGGGATCACCCACTGGTTTGGAGGGTGAAATTGCAATTGTACTCAATTGAATAATTACCTTCTTTCTTCTTCCATCCTAATTGCATATGATTTGTAGAAAATGAACTTCAAAGGACTAGGATGTATATGAACAAGAGATTTTAGGTGAATCTTCAAGATTGTGTTATTACCTTCAAAGTTTAGATAATAATTTATAATTGAAAAAGTGAATTATAGAATGAAATTTCAAGCGATTTTCTCGGCCAAGAAGAATGAAACGGTGCAATAAATTCTTACAAGTACAATGATGTTAATTGGAATGTAGACACCCTGATTAATCTCAACAAATCAAATTGTAGCACGCACCCTCCAATTAGCATATATGAACCATAGATTCGGAATTAGTTTACACACAGAGCAAGGAAAAGGTGAATGAAAATAGCAAAGCATCGAAAAGAAAACAAAGTGCAGGGAAGGAAGCAAGTAGATCACAGGGAAAGGAAAAGAAACCCGAACCATCCTTCCTTCCTTCCCCTGCTCTCTAGTTCACTTCTCTACCAATCCTCTGCTTTTCACTCTGTTCTTGGCTGGTCTCTCCCTTTTGCTTTTCCACTTTACCACCTCAAAACAAATACGAAACTGCATACAATCTTCAATACGCCAACTACCCTTTCATCTCCCACTATAACACTCTCACTAGCTCCCACTCCCCTGCTTTTCTTTTCTTTTCTTTTCTTTCGGCTTCCTCCTCACAACCTCTTCATGGCGGCATCGCCATGGCCGCACTCTGCCTCGCTCCTCAACCACATTCTTCTGTTCATCGCCACATTGCTATTTCAGCAGCAGGGAATGGTGGTTATGGTGGAGGCGACATCGTCATGGTGCGTGGCTCGAAGCGACGCCAGCTACCAGGCGCTGCAGACGGCTCTGGACTACGCATGCTGGGCAGGGGCCGACTGCACGCCCATCCAGTCAGACGGTCTCTGTTTCCTCCCCAACACAATCCAAGCTCACGCTTCCTACGCATTCAATAGCTACTACCAGCGCAAGGGGATGGCCCCTGGCTCCTGCGACTTCTCCGGCACTGCCAATATCGCCCGCACCGATCCCAGTCAGTCACCCTTTCTTCTCTTCTCTTCCCCTCTTTCTTTCTATGTTTATCTTTCCGCTTATACTTGTTGGGTTTTTCTTTTTTCCCTTCTACTTCGTGACAGGCTATGGATCTTGCGTCTATCCCTCTTCTCTCAGGTATGTTATGCTTGCTATGATTAACCATCAATGATGCTTTCCATCACACCTGTTCAAGTTTCAGCAACCATTTCAAGTCTGTCTGACAAAATTCACATTTCTAGAGACACAAAAGCAGCTGCTACTTGGATACTACAACTTTTGACTGTTTATGCCAAACTTGAACCATAGGTTTCCTCAGATTACTATAGGCTTTTGCTAAATATAATAATGATAATACTTGTTTCTTGCCCCTTGATCTCATGTTCATACCATACCATGATTGAAAAGGGTACAAAGTGCCTATTAACTTCACCTTTTCTTGGCTTCTGGGACAGCCTGCCTCTCTTTTCACCCTTGAAACTCTCCATTGATCATCTCCTTAATAACTAATCAAATCATGATTACCACCAAGCAAAATGAATGATTTGGTTGTTTGGTTTAGGGGTTTGACAGGGGTTCTCCTGGTTCTGTATATGGGAGCTCCTTCATCTCCATGTCTTGTACCTACTCATCAAACAGCTTTGTGAATGACTTTGCATTTGAATAATGCTGCTGCATGTTTCTCTGATGCACTGCAATCTTATCCAGCGCGGCAGGAGGGGCAGCTACACCCACAATGCCGACAACTAACCCCAATTCATTCACACCGCCGGTGACCACCACTACTACTCCGACCACCATCACCGACCTCTCTCCACCGCTGCCTACCGACAACTCCAAAGCTTCCATCAGGTCCATGGACATTGCAATGCTACTGCCTGCTGCCTTTGTGCTCCTACTCTTGTTTAGTTTCTGAAGTGAATTCTAAACCAACCTGTTGAGCCAAGGCAGCAGCTACTCTTCCAAACACTGGAAAAGCTGCCACAGTTTTGTCAGAGAAAAGGTTGCAGAAGCTGGCCTTCTTTTGTTGATTCCTGGAGTGAGTATCAATTTTCAGAGAGAGCTTCAGAATAGAATGGCAGAAACAGATCTTCAATTTTCTTTCCCTTTCTTTCTTTCTTTCTTTCTCTCAACATTTTCCTCTCGGATGGTTACCAATTGTATCTAGAATAACCCTACTGTAGTCACTATTACTTGTAGGTCTACAATTCAATTCATGATCCTTGATGGGAGATCATATTGATTCTCTCTTGATTCTTGCCAGGCTTCATTCAGTCACTTGGTGCTCCTAACGAAACCCAGACTGTGGGTTTCTTCTAATAAATAACTCCTAATGTAAATTCTATTCTCCTGGTTCTATAATTCGTTTCAGAGGATCTCTCAACTACCTTTACTTACTGCCTGCCAATGCTTCTGTCGGTTTATCCACGCAGGCACCTTTCAGGTTCTCTAACTATGTAAACAATGTCGCCAGCAAATTCAGCGAACTCCAGATTCCTGTGCCAACTCCACAGAGCATATGTATCATTTTTCACCTGCAGGATAAAGAAAGGGGATGATTCAATAAAATCAAACAAAGAAAAGTTTCAACCTTTGTTGCAAGTCATTTGTTTCTTTTTCTGGGGAAGTAAAGAGCTTGGATGGATGGTGGAGAACAGGTACAGGAAAAACCTCTAGAATCCCATGTCCAAAGCTGGTTTCTCTGTACGCACTATACTCGGGCTGCTGATCCCAGCAGAACTTCCCAGCTGAAATGCTCCCTGAAGTGAAGTTGAAGGCACAGAACCCACCAATATCAGTGTCAGGGGTAAGAGATGGGTCCGGACAGTAACCAGGATCATCAGCATGTGTTATGGCCATCATCTCACGACTCCCTCCAGCTCCCACGGTGATATAAACTGGACCGCAAGGATCCAGAGTGTAGTTGTAGACCCGGTTTGATCTCTCATATGCATGGACCTGCAGTTTTAGTTGTTCGCAAATCATGAATCGAACTCCCTGGAATTTTCTAAATGGAGATGAAGTGAAATTGTTGTTTCTTACATGGCCATTGAAGACTATGTCAACTCCATAGCTGTACAGCAAGTCCTCCATCTCAACTCTCATGCACTCAGCAGCTCGGTATTGTTCTCTGAAAGTGCTGTACCATGAAGGATGCCAAGCAGCTATCAGCCATGGGGTCTGCCCTCTGTCAACATTGTACAAGTCTGTTTCTAGCCATTTATACTGGTCAGCTGCAAACCCAAAAAGGAAGAATGAAAGCAGAAGTAAAGTGAAGCTTCATTACAAAAGCTACCAGGAATTGGGCATGACCCATGCAGTAACAAAGTGATCTCTGCATTTGGAAAGGAGTTTAATTGTGGGGGAAACATACATGACCTGTCAAAAGCAGTGTAGGGACTGAGCATCACAAAATGGATCCCTCCTGCATTGAAAGAGTAATAGAGTGTGGAAGATGAACCACTCTCTTCAGACGGGAACGCAAATCTGGAACTGTATGACACGAATATCTGATCATCAACTTGTGGTTCTATCTCATGTTTCCCTCCAATTACCATTGTTGGAACATTAGCCGTTAGAGTCTGCATCAACCTGATTAAACAAAGTACAGGGCACCAATAAATAATAGCAAGCAAACAAAAAATCAGCTCGATTTCATCCAAAAAAGGGTTGTGTGAACTTTTTTTGTTCTTTTGTTCTAACCTTCCCCAGCAATCCCATCGTGGCTGATAAGTTTCATGGATGGGAGTATCCGAAAAGGAGAAAGCATAGCAATCAGAGCTAGTACCATTGGTGAGATACATGTCAGCATAACTTAATCCCCCAACCAAGACCACAAGATCAGCATGGTTGGTGAGGATATGGTCCACTGTTGTGCTGCTATTTTGAGTGAGCCCTAAATCTCCCACCACCGCTATTCTCGGTGGATAATCTGTGGGGCTGGAAACCGGCATTGTCCTGAAGTAAAACACACTGCTCATTGCTTCTATGGATGGATCTCCACACTGGTATTGGTAAAGTGTTGCAGGTTCCAATCCTAGCAAGATATGGGGAAATCTCAGTCACCAATTAGCTCATCCTAATCACCAGAAGGACACCGAATTCCGAACGAAAAGCTTCATCGAACTGCACTCGTGAACGTTCCATGAACTAACCACAATCCTGTGATCAAATCAGTTGCATTAACAATACAAGAGAAAGAACCTGTAAGGCGAACGTGGTGTATGATTCCAGAGGTGTAGTTCTGGAGGCCTTCGAAAGGGTAAAGCTGAGTGTAGACAGTGGAATAGCCTCGTGCTTCATAGTCCATTGCATACCCTGAAACTCCATACTGAACCACGCTGGCAACTGAGTCGGGTTCGTCGTAAACAACTTGGGAATCACCTGCCAATTCAAAACCGTTCAACCCCAATCAGAAAAAGGGGGGAAAACATTTCTTGTCTCAACTGTCCAAGCATCTCAGCGATATGGGTAAAGAAAGTGATGACTAACAGACCTGTGATCCAAGAGACCCAGACGGAGTCATAATTTGAAGACAAGGAGACAGAGATTTGCTCAGGCTGGAAACCCTCTACGTTCCTTCCCACTTGGTCGTCGTCGGCAGGCAAATCAATTGCATTCCCGGTGAAGTATTTGCTGGCAAGAGGTGCAGAAATGGGGGCGAAGGGGCCCTGGAGGGTCGTTGGGAAATCGCCATTAACATGGTCGGGCGTGAAGCTCCATAATAAGAGTGGCATAATTAGGTGGAGTGAGATGACAATGAGGCAACCCATTTGTTGGTGTGGGGGGTGATTTTTTTCTCTCCTTTGCTTGGGATTGGTCAAACAAAGTCGCGAGCTTTTCTGTTATGGAATCAAAGTGTCGAGCTTTAGAAGCGGAGGACAAGAGAAGATGGGATGAAGAGCAACCATGGATATAGGGGCAGAGTCGGAGCTGAGAAGTTGGATAGATTGCAGAGACACAAGAGGGTCATGCACAAAAGGTTCACGAGTCTACATAACGGGAGCCTGTAACCTAAAAAATACTAATCAAGTCATTATCCTCCTCCATACAAATTCATGAAGAGCAAATTTAAAGGTCTTCTGTCGTTTTCTATTTGGAGTTTTTTTAGAAAACTTTTAGGAACGGAAGGATCTTTGGGAAGAGGATGTGGAAATCGGAACTGTGGCTAGTTGGTGAAGAGAAAACAACACATCCGAATTGCGAATTCTGAATGGCATGGGCTGTTATCTACTCAATCGTGCCGGGTATAGTTGGAAAAAAATCCTAATATACACTAGTAATTAAAAGAAATTCTCAAAATATATAAGTTATTAATTTTTTTCAACCTATACATGTTTCACTTTCACCGTCTTTGTCTAAGATAATGAATGCAATCACCGCATTAAACAAAAAGGGTGAATAAATCACTGCTGTAAACAAACACGGTGACTAGCATTGATTTATTCACCGTGTTTGACTTAAACGGTGAAGCAATCACCGTTTTCGTGCAAAGCGGGAAATACCTTCACCGCTTTAAGTTACGGCGGTGATAGTTTTTCACGTTTCCCACCCCTGGTAAGTGAAAATTAGGTCACTCACAACCACCTAATATTCACCGCCTTAGGGCAACGCGGTGATCACCTTCACCGCTGTCAAAAAAGGAGGTGAATGCTCCCTGGTTTTCATATAAATATCCCTCCCACGAGCAGTTGGAAAAACACTCTCCCCATCCATTTTCAAATTTCAGCAAAAAAAAACCCAACAACATACACAGAAGCAATTTTTCGGTATGATGTAATTTTGTATTGTTTATATAGTGATGTTTTTAGTAGTTATATGTATGTAATGAATTACTTATCGTAGCAAATATGTTATGTTAGTTGGGAATTTATGTTGTTGTTAGTTAGTTGAATTTATGTTATGTTAGTTATGAGATGGAGTAATATTAGTTGTACAATATGGTTTTGGTTAATTTTATTGGAATTAAGCTAATAGTTACTTATTGTAAATTGTAGATATGGGTAAATTCAAGAAGTTTCAGCTTATTATTCAGTGGAATGGAAGGGCGACAAAATCTGACATTGGGATTGATTATGAGGACAGTGAATCCACTATGTTGAAAATTGAGTCGCGATTCACGTGGCAAGAACTCTGTGACATTTGTGCAGACAGGGTTTGTACGAGCTGCCAGACGAGAGTTGGTAAAATTACTTACCGGTATCCAGACATGAGTGCTGGCGGGGTTGTGTACCAAGAAGTTGTCATAAACGATGATGACACGGTTACGATGATGTTACAAATCCTAGGCGATAACGGGATGCGGCTTGTAGAGGTCTATATTGAGACCGAGGCAGTCAGTGAAACTCATTCTCACCAGTATTCTTATGATGATGGTTTTGCAGGAGGGTATGGATGGGGTGGTAGTTCAAGCAACTACGAAGGAGGTGGTTATACATGAGGTTACAGATTGGGTGGTAGTTCAAGCAACTACGGAGGAGGTAGTGGTGCAGGATGGGTGCCATCGGAAGAATACCTGCAACGGGATGAACCTGCCCCATTTGTTGAGGCCGGTGAGGTTCAATGGCCTGCTTGGGGGCCAGAGTGGGCTGAAAACGAGAATACCATTCGATCTGAGCGTACTTCACATGAGCGAGAAGACGATGTTGGTGATGGTGGTCATGTTGATCCTTCTGGCCCGAGCTATCCATTCGACTAGAGAGATGATGATACTGAGGAAGATTTGATATCAGTGAGCGAGGAGGAAGATACTGACGATGCAGATGACGAGGTGGCATTTCGTGAGCCACCGACGCCATACTACACACAGGTTCCAACTAAATTTTACATAGTCAGAATGATGCCCCAGACGTTGTCCATATGACATTGTATAATCTGACGGCCAATTTGGAGGTGGGTATGGCGTTCACATCGAAGGACGCTATGCAGGATGCTTTTACCGAAGATGCCATGCAGCGCAGTTTCGAGTGGAAGGTAAAATATTGTGACAGTAAACAACTACATGTCATATGCAAGAATGCTGCAGAGGGCTGTATGTGGCAACTGCGAGCTGCAAATATGAAGAGAAAGGGTGTCTAGGTGATTCGAAAAGCTGAGAACAACCACAACTGCTCCTCGTCCATACTTTCCCAGGATCATCGGAAACTTAAAGCAAAGGAAGTGGGGAGAACTATTAAGCACCTTATCGAGGCACAACCGGATATCAAGGTCAGAGCTATCATTACCGAGGTGAAGGATCGACATTCTTACACGATAAGGTACAAAAAGGCATGGCATGGTAAGTAGAAAGCCATGGCTGAGGTGTATGGTGATCGGGAGAACTCGTATGCTTTACTCCCTAGACTTATGGCCGCAATGGAGGAGTCCAACCCTGAGACTGTTTTCGTGCTTAGTTACAACAATGTATACACTGAGGATTAAGTTCGAGTACATGAAAAGTTGATGTTTCACCGTCTATTTTAGGCTTTCAAACCATGCATTGACGGGTTTGCGTTCTGCATACCAGTTATCCAGGTATTTTAATAACTAATTACTGTTAGAAAAGTTCAATTTTCCTGCTAAGTAAATTTCATAATAACTAGATCCTAATTTTTAATTAGGTTGATGGAACTTTCCTTACTGGAAAGTACAGAGGCACTCTTCTCATTGCCACTGGCGTTTATGGAAATATGCGGATTTTCCCTCTTGCATTTGCATTAGTGGAAGGGGAGAACAACTTAAGTTGGACATGGTTTTTTGACCAACTACACAAACACGTGATACAGCGGCAGGGTATTACGATTATATATGATCGACACGTGGGGATTAGGAATGTCATGGGTGGTTTTCCTGACGAATGGGGATGGACATGGCGCTGGTGTATTCGACACTGGCTTGCCAATTTCCAGCACAAATTCGGGAAGAAGAAAGACATAATAGATCAACTGTGGCATGCAAGTACTAATGTCTTTTATTGCGAGTTAACTATGCATTTAATAACTTTGTATTTACCATGTATTGACCATTTAATTTTGTTCACCTTGCAGCGGTTGCACATCAACCAAAAAAGTATGAGCAGAAGATGAAGACGATCCGTCAGATCCACCGAGCGGGAGCAGTATGGGCTGAAGGTCAAGACTTGCCCATGTGGACGTTCCATATAGACAACGGGGCCAGATTCGGCATTGCAACTACCAACCATGGCGAAAGTATAAATAGAGTGTACAAGGGCCTTCGAGCGATGCCTGTTTCTGTCATAGTGGAGACGTCATACTGGAAGGTCAACGAGTGGCGCGTGAATCGACTTCAGCTAGCTATAGGGAGGGAGCTCTCTGGTCATGCGATAGCACATGAGATATTTGATCAAATGCAGAAGAACAAAGAAAAATCAAGTAAGCATAAAGTTGTTCTTTTCGACCGTAGTGAAGGTATATTTGCAGTCGAAACAGGTATATGGGGTGGAGGGAGACGTGGCCACAGTCGTCAAATTGTTACTCTACACTTACAAGGCTAACCGGGAGTGTACATGTCAAAAGTATCAAAGCACAAGAATACGCTGTTCACATGCAATGGCAGTAGCTAAGTCAATAACCATGAGCCCACACAGTCTGGTGAGTCCTTACTAGGGCTGCAAATGAGCCAAGCCGCTCGCGAGCAACTCGGCGTTCGAATCGGAAAAAACTCGTTCGACACTTGACTCGTTGTTTAACAAGACGGCTCGCGAGCCGGCTCGTTAGTAAACGAGCCAAGCTTGAGCTAGACCATGCTCGACTTGATAAGCTCGTGAGCTAGCTTGACTCGGTGGCTTGTTGAGCTAAGCTCGCGAGCTGGCTTGTTTAAAGCTTGTGGAAGGATTAATTACTTTTCTGAACATGAAAATTATCTTGTTAATAAGTATGTGTATGGAAGTTAGATGTTATTTTTAGTTTTTAGTGTTATTTTTATCATTTTTAATTTCTAATGTTCTTATTTGTACACATTTTTCAGCAAGAATAGTTTCAAATCGAGCTTATCTTAAGCCGAGCTTGTACTCAGCTTGACAAGCTGTGTTAATGGGCATTTACCATGCTTTATCGAGTCGAGCTCGAGCTGGATTATTTTTAATCGAGTCAAGCTCGAGCTCGAGCTGGATGATGAAAATTCGAGTTCGAGCCGAGCTCGAGCTAAAAAATTTATAAACGAGCCGAGCTCAAGCTAAGCAAAAACTCGACTCGACTCGGCTCGTTTGCAGCCCTAGTCCTTACTTCACTGAACAGACTATCATGAACTCATATGATGCAGCTTTGAGACCCATGCCAGATGAAGCGTATTGGCCTATATACAATGGGAAGTTGATTATCCCACTGTTGCACCTAAAGCGCACCAAGGGTCGTCCTAGGAATGAAAGGATTCACAATGAGATGGATCAAGTGCAAAGCCCGAGGCGAGGGCCGAAGCGATGCTCCAAGTGCAGACAACCTGGGCATGACAAGAGGTGTTACCCAGGACAACCTCTCCAGCATGATGCAGAAATTAATCAGGACAACCTTGAAAAATGATCTATCTTAATTTTCATTTAGTTGTAATGATGTTTAAATTGTAAGCTTGTTTAATGATTGTAATGATATTGGAATGATGATCTATCTAGGGATGTTGGAATGAATAATGACCAAATAGAAAGTAGACTAAGCATAGATCATTGATTACTAGAGGCCAAAACACAAGACATGACTGGAGAAAAACAACATGGATAGTTCAAAGACAATGCAAGCTCCAACCACAAGACCGAGAAACACAAAACAACATGGATAGTTCACTGCAATGACATAAAACTAAAATAAACAAAGAAAGAATGAGAATTTCACTGGTTGGCTTCATCTGGTTCCCCCTCATTTGGCCCCCATCTCTCCCTCCTCCTCCTCGTCCACGTTGTGCTCGACCCCTTCTTCCGCCATCTCTCCCTCCTTCTTCTTGGCGGGCTCGTTGAACGACTGGTCGCGGATTTCTCTTAAACTGAGCCCCAACTAGAGTC